ACCTTCTCCATTCTTTGTTGTTTTTTGTTTTCTTTTTTCTTAGTTTTTCATGTGTATCTGTTATTTTTTTTTTTTTTTTTTTGCATCTTTTTGATTTTTCCTTTTCCATTTCTTTTTTCTATTCTTTTTCATTTTTTTTTCCTTTTCTCATCTTGTTATTCATCTTTCTTTCCTTTTTTCCTTTATTTTTAATTTTACTTTCTCTTTCCTTTCTTTTTGCCTTTTGTTTCTTTTTCTTTTATGGCACTTTCTTGTTTCTTTTTCTTTCTTTCTTTCTTTCATTCTTATTTTCTGTCTCTTTTTCATTCTTATTTATTTCATCTACTCATCATTCAATTTATATTTTTAGTCCCTTCATTCTTCTTATTTTTCCTTTTCCCTTTAAAATCTGAAACCCCCCTACAACCCCTCCAGTCATAGTAACATGCCTAAACATTAATCGAAATTACATAACATCTTTGTCTTGCACTTTCTTCACTTGGCTATCAGATATTCTTTATATCGCATCAGATTCATAGATAAAAGCCACCAGGGAGGGTGGAGCTAGCAACAGACTTAAATATATTAATATACTATTGCTTTGCTCTTCATATAACAGTGTTAGAAATATATATTTACTGTTGTGGTTATACACACCCGGCATGTAACAGCAAAATTGTCTATTTCTTAGATTAAGATTTGAACTGTTGTATTTTAGAAATGATTAAAGATATCTTACTGGAATTCTGTATGGTTTTTATAACACTACTGGACTCTACTTTGAACAATAAGAAGTTCTACGTTTAACGCCATCACTTGATAAATGGTTATTTTTGTAGTGATTTTATAACATATTTATGTTATAATTTTCGAATAAATTATATTTGCTCTACTCTATATTGAGCACTCTTTTAAGAATAGTATTTTTGGTTATTGGAATTTATTCTGTATACCCCAATCCTATACTTTATATATATATATATATATATATATATATATATATATTACTCCAGGATCATTTTCCAACTTATTCTTTGACCTTTCTAATCTAACTTTCTGTCCTGGTGTAACAAAGTGCCTCACAAATTTCACATACAATTTCATTTTCAAGTTTTTTTTGCTGCTTTTTGGACTTTCATAGGTGAAACTCTTCTCTCACATGCCAAACATCTTATGAATTGAGTTGAATTTTTGCTAATTGATGTCTTTAGCTCTAAGTTGAAATGATGATCCCTCTTCCTGTTGTGACCTCCTGCTTCAGTTTTCCTCTTTACTGTTCCTCTTTTTTAAACTTATTCACCATTCCCTTGAGTGTTCTTGAATCGACTTTGAAGATAGAAACCAGAGTATGAATGAACTGAAGGCTTGAATGATCTTTTTCCTCCCACCATTGAATGATCTTTTTCAACCTGTTCTATTTCTATTAACTCAAAGGGTTTTTCAGTGATTCTTATGACAAATGGTGTCAAGATGGCTAAAATGTCAGAATGAAAAACTCAATTATTTCTTTAGATTTAAATAATTTCTGTAACACAATTTGGACAATATTACTGTTACACACAGTACATATATGAGGTTTGAGCAAAAAGTATCAGTACTGTTGCTATATTAACGTAGCTAATCTACACAGAGTGAAGCTACTTGGCACAGATTGACCTTGAACTCTATCACACATAGAGACTAAGTTATAATCTTCTTGCTCACTTCTGTTGTTTATAGCAGTGCTTGGAAGGAAAATGTGTAGAGTGTGGTTGTCTCACCACACCACAGAGGTTCCATCAGTAATCATGGCTTGTGCAGTATTTTTCATCCAAGAAATGTGATGTAATGTTTTTTTAAATGTGTGTTAATAGTTAGTAGTACATAACCGTTTAAAGACAAAATATTATGAAAAATGTTTATGGCAATACTATCAACTATTAAGACATGTTAAAAATAACTACATTACGTCACCATTTTTTCTATAGATCCATTATTCATGAATCTAAGTTATCTCTTTTGAATACATAAAAATCAATAAAGATATGTGCTAAATATGCACACGATTTGCTTTAATGAAAAATCAAATCAAAACAAATTTTTCAAAACATCCTTCAGTGTCTAACTTTTACACACTTTAGCATCCAGACTGTTTCTCACACATATTTGAATATTATCTAATACTTTATTGCATGTGGCATGTATCTAACCAATAAGAAATAACCAAACACAACATACCATTAATCTGCATCTCTTTGCTTTTTATCATTTTTTATCACTTCTACCTTGATCTCTGATGAAGCTTTAATAAAGTGAAACATGTTAGATTAAGATCCGTTTCCTATTTGTTCTTTGTCCTCTCTCTCTCTCTCACACACACATTATGAAATGGACTAAGTCTGACAAATATTTTAATATATTTTTGTTTATCCGTTATTTTTATAGATACAAATATTTAAGCTAATGCCCTGTTTATAATAAACAGTATTAACGACATTCACTGGCCTGAATGTCAGAGAAATTTCAAAGAAAATATGTGTCCTCTGACAGGAATCGAACTTGTATCCTACACAGAACCATCATATAGCCTTATGTGCTATGCCATTTAGCTACAGAGGAAGTACTTGGTTAGCAAGGTTAAATTACTGTTTTTAAATTTCAAACTTCTCTGATTTCTCCCGAACACTCATATCGGCTCGAAGCTTATCTTAACATAAACAAATGACATAATATATTATGAAATGAACTAAGTCTGACAATTATTTTTAATGTATTTTCTGTTTCTACATTATTTTTAGAGATACAAATATTTACGTAAATGCTCTGTTTATAATAAACAGTATTAACAACATTTATCAGCCTGAATGTCCAAGAAATCTCAAAGAAAATATTTATCCTCCAACAGGAATCAAACCTGTATCATACACGAAACTGACATATAGCCTGACGTGCTGTGCCATTTAGCTACAGAGGGAGTGCATAGTCAAAATAATTGTCGGACTTAGTCCATTTCATACTATATTATGTTATGTATTTACATTCAAGCAGATATGAGTGTTCAAGAGAAATCACGAGAAGTTTGTAGTTTAAAAACAGTAATTTAACCTTGCTAACCAGATGCATGACCAGGCTTTCGTTCTATACTCCTTGCAAAATCAGCAACATCTAGCATGATTAGTCTATGGGGTCAATACATTTTTAATTATACATTGATTTGTTCAAATTTTAAACTATATTTATTCTGCTTACCTTATTTAGATTATTCAGACTGTTATCCTCATCTTCATTGCCATATTCACAATGTTTCAGCCGTTGTATGCTCTGGCCTTCTTCATGTGATTGGAATTTCAAACTGAACCCTTGAGATTGTTCTTGTGCCATGCCTTTTCTAGATGTCTCTCTTATTTCCCTTTATTTACACCTTTATCCACTGGGCACTGTGTTTCCTTGAGGACACATGGCCCAGTGGATAAAGGCATTAGTTAGGTCCAGTGACTAGACCCAAAGAGTTGTGAGTTCAATACCAGCAGTGGTGAACCAAAACTTGTTGAGAGTTGAATTAATGGGAAATAACTGAAAAGGCATGATACATGGGACTAGAACAATCTAGAGGGTTTGGTTTGAAATTCCAATCACCTGAATAAGACCGGAACATACAACAGCCAAAACACTGTGAACATGACAAAGAAGATGAAGATAACACTCTGAATAATGTAAGTAATCATAATACCTCATCTCAGAGATATAGACAGATATTTTTATTCTTTTTCCATATTTTAGGAAAACACCACCAGTTATCTTATCTCTCTGAGATCCACAGAAACCTGTTTCTCCATAATCAACCCTCACATTAGCCTCATCAGCATTCGATGTCAGTCCATTTAAAAACTTTTATCAACAATTTCAATTCACCTATCTGCAAACAATTGTTTCTTATTGATTTTCATGCCGGACAATGTTATCCATGCCTTTGATGTGGGGAGGAATGATTCTGCCAAAAGAATAGCATTTTGCCTACTCGTTAGAATCATTTAGAGACATTTGGATCTTTGTAAACATCAGGAAGTCTTTCTTCATAGATGATTAATTCAATAACTGGTTATCTTGACAATCAAATTTGTTTGAGATATGCACACAAAACTTGAGATTTATTGTTTATTTTTAGAAAATATAATCATTTTCGAACAGAGCCCCCTAATTAGGTTCGAAAAATCATTAGAAATTGTGTTCATAATAAACTCAAAAGGAAAACTGAAAGATCTCTAAGACAAGGTAGTAAAGAAATTGAGAAAGGAATATTGAGTCTAAGAAAGCAGAAAGCATGGTTGTCAGCAAAAGAGGCAACCCAAGGTGTGAGCTACACATTGGGGATATCAAATTCAAGCAGGGACAGACATTTAACTGTCTGAGTAGTGTTGTAAGAAAAGTGAGAAGAAAGAACTATCGGCTGTAAAAAGAAAGCAAAAGAGACAGTACAAGATGTGAGCTATGTCAAGTTGGTACAGAAATATATTTATCTGATTCATGTAGTAACAAATGATGGAACATGTGACATGGAAATCTATATATGCATAGGAATAGGAAATGGTCTGCATTCCAATACATCTGAATTATATTTGGATTCCAGTTCTTGTCAGATAGATTCAGATATTTGTCTCTCTCATCAGCTAGTCTTTCCTGCCCCTTTTGACTTATAAATTATGACCTCCTTGATCATTTCTCTTAGATTCTCTGTTTAGCAGGTTTTTCTCTCTTATTTGGCACACTAATTTGCATAGCATTTCCTCTCACTTTTATGAACTTAAATCTTCAGGTCTCTCTTTTTACCTTCACTTCAATCTGCAGGTTTATCCTTTTTCTAGCCATTTACTCTGCTGGTTTCTTTTCATTCTTGCTCTTCAATCCACAGGTCTCTCCTTCTGTTTCCTGCTCTTCAATCTGCAGGTCTCTCCTTCTGTATCCTGCTCTTCAATCTGCAGGTCTCTCCTTCTGTTTTCTGCTCTTCAATCTGCAGGTCTCTCCTTCTGTTTTCTGCTCTTCAATCTGCAGGTCTCTCCTTCTGTTTTCTGCTCTTCAATCTGCAGGTCTCTCCTTCTGTTTTTCGCTCTTCAATCAGCAGGTCTCTCCTTCTGTTTTCCGCTCTTCAATCAGCAGGTCTCTCCTTCTGTTTTCTGCTCTACAATCTGCAGGTCTCTCCTTCTGTTTTCTGCTCTACAATCTGCAGGTCTCTCCTTCTGTTTTCTGCTCTACAATCTGCAGGTCTCTCCTTCTGTTTTCTGCTCGCCAATCTGCAGGTCTCTCCTTCTGTTGTCTGCTCTACAATCTGCAGGTCTCTCCTTCTGTTTTCTGCTCGCCAATCTGCAGGTCTCTCCTTCTGTTTTCTGCTCGCCAATCTGCAGGTCTCTCCTTCTGTTTTCTGCTCGCCAATCTGCAGGTCTCTCCTTCTGTTTTCTGCTCTTCAATCTGCAGGTCTCTCCTTCTGTTTTCTGCTCTTCAATCTGCAGGTCTCTCCTTCTGTTTTCTGCTCTTCAATCTGCAGGTCTCTCCTTTTTTCTGATCTTCAATCAGCAGGTCTCTCCTTCTGTTTTCTGCTCTTCAATCTGCAGGTCTCTCCTTCTGTTTCCCGCTCTTCAATCTGCAGATCTCTCCTTCTGTTTCCTGCTCTTCAATCTGCAGGTCTCTCCTTCTGTTTCCTGCTCTTCAATCTGCAGGTCTCTCCTTCTGTTTCCTGCTCTTCAATCTGCAGGTCTCTCCTTCTGTTTTCTGCTCTCTGCAGGTTCTCCTTCTGTTTTCTGCTTTCACAATCTGCAGGTCTCTCCTTCTGTTTTCTGCTCTACAATCTGCAGGTCTCTCCTTCTGTTTTCTGCTCTACAATCTGCAGGTCTCTCCTTCTGTTTTCTGCTCTTCAATCTGCAGGTCTCTCCTTCTGTTTCTGCTTCTGTTCTGCAGGTCTCTCCTTCTGTTTCCCGCTGCGTGTCTCTCCTTCTGTTTCCCGCTCTCCAATCTGCAGGTCTCTCCTTCTGTTTCCCGCTCTCCAATCTGCAGGTCTCTCCTTCTGTTTCCCGCTCTTCAATCTGCAGGTCTCTCCTTCTGTATCCTGCTCTCTAATCCGCAGGTTTCTTCATCTGTTTCTTTCTCTTCAATTTGCAGGTCTCTCCTTCATCCTTTCACATCAACTTTTCTGAACAATAATTCTTACTACATTGTCTTGTAATCTATTCTAAACTTTTTGTTTTTGCTCAATTTTAGTAATTAAATATTTTAATTTTACTTATGAATCGTTCACTGCACACCTTGATTGACAATTACCAACAAGTAGATTTGTATGCAAACGTTTTGTATCGGGGAAACACATTTCTTGAAATGTGTGTTGGCAGCAATAACTGTAAGGATTTAATAAGGTTTCTTTAGGATTTTTATTTTATTATTGTGAGCTTCCTTTTTTGTCTAATTGTTTTTTTTCTTTTGCTTTCTTTTGTCTTCTTTCTTTACAAATTTTTTCTTTTGCCCTTTTTCAATTTTCTTTTTTTATCATTTTCTTTTCCTTTTCTTCTTTTTCTATTTTTTACTCCTTTTCTTATCTTTTTCTTTTTTGTACTTTTTTTATTTTCCTTTCTTTTTTCCTTTTTACTTTTTCTTTCTACTTTTTCTTTCATTCACCTTTTTCTTATCTTTTTTCTTTCTACTGTTTCTTTCTTTTTCTTTTCCTTATCTTTTACCTTTTTCTATCTTTTCATTTTTTTTCTACCATTTTTCTTTTTTATACTTTTCATTTTCCTTTTTTTCTTTTATTCTTCTTTTTCTTTTATTCTTCTTTTTCTTTCTACCTTTACTTTCATTTCATTCACCATCTTTTTCCTTTACTTTTTCTACTTTTCTTTTCTGTTTTTACTTCTCTTTCTACCTTTTCATTCAACTTCTTTTTTCTCTTTTTACTTTTTTCTTCATTTTTTTACCTTCATTCTCTTTTTCTTTTCCCCCTCTTTTTCTACTTTTTTTATTTACCATTTTTTTAACTTTTTAAAAATTTTTTTTCATTTTTGATTATTTTTTCATTTTTTTTTCTCTCTTTCTCCCGTTCAAAAACTTTTCTCTCCTTCTAAAAAAAAAAAAAAAGTCTTGCTTAATCTCATTTTTTTTTGCTGTTTAGTTTCTCTAACTCCCCCACTCCAGCACCTCAGGATTTGCTTTAAATAGTCCTCATACCATCTTCAGGAATTTGTGTGTGTGTATTGAGTTTGGGCCAAACTATAAATGAAAATGATGATAATCTCCTCAAATATTGGGAGAGGACAACACACCTTGAACATTTACCAAATAGATAAATAGATTTTATTTTCTTATTATATAAATACACGCAAAAAGACTGAACAGATGCCCATGCCCCCCACCTGCCAACAATCTACACACCTATACATGTCAACACTTACACATCTATACACAGACATGTATACTTCTACACACACACACACACATCCATAAATGTCTAACTCAAGTAGATGTAATCTTATAGATTTTTTTCAGCCATTGAAGTTAATCACACCGAGTTTATCGTTAAGTGAATTTTGGCTAATTTCATTTTGTGCCTTCCATTTTTAACATAGCAAGAGACAAAAATTTAGCCATTTTTATTGAATAATAATTTGTGGGTAATTGAATGACAAAATGGGGAAAAAATTTGGCAATCTTGAACACTTCGTCCCTGCAAAAAAACACAGTGTGTTAAAACGATGATTTTTTTTTCCCTTGACACTGCTATTATTTTAACTACCTTCACTCCTTGGCAATGTTTATTGTTTTAAAAAGCAATGATTAAAATTTTAATAAAACCTAAACATATGCTGAAAGTGAACTTATACATTTTCTTTTTTCTTGAGAATTTACAACAAAAATATTTGTTATATTCCGTGCTAATAGGAATATATACTTGAAAAACAAGGTGGATAAAATAAGTAAAAGTTTATTGTAACAAACCAGTACAATAAGAATAAAGGTAACAGTTATGCACAAGGTCATTGCAAGTCAATCCAGTAGACTACTATTGAAAGGTCAATAGTTCTCATGTAAGTTTGAGTCGTACTCAACAGATCCCAGCTAGTCTCTGTAGTCCATTGACTTACAGATACTTATAGGTAGTCACTCATGGGGGGGGGTGTCAGGTTATTCCATTACGTCAATATTAAACACTATTTACTTCTGATACAAAACATACCTGTTGTTTTGTGAAGTCTCCGACTGAAACTTCAGGATAATTCCCACCACTCAAATCAAAGATAAAGCACAATAATAAAAATAATAATAGCAGAAAAAAACAAGAAGAGAAATTGCACACTACAGTTCAAAAGTTTGAAGCTACCCGCAGAATTAGCATATGATGAACTTGATGTAAGAATGGGTAAAAAATGAAAAGAGCTCTTAGAATCATTTACCAAACTTATACTTTGAGAAACTTTTGCAATGAATACTAATTTGTGCTGCAGTAATCAAGGCAAAAGGAGGATATTTTAACAAGAACAAAATTTAATCATAAAATACTTTTTTTTCCTTTTTGTCATAATAAAATTTCTAATAAAATAAAAAAAAATCATGTCTCACTTTTTTTTTTTACCATGTATAATAATTTTCTCTTAAAAGTACAAAACTACTTTTAGGGCCAATTTAAAAAAATTACCAGGGGTGGCTTTTGAACTGTAGTGTACCTATGTAAATTAGAAAAAGTATACAACTTAGGTCTGAGTTTGATTTGTTTTATCCATTTGTTTAAATTTGTAAATATTTCAATAAGGCCTTTTCTTTTGTCTTTTCTGTTGCCTTGAATTAAAATGAGAACTTTTGAAAGGAGGTTGTGTATCATGCGCATTGCTGGGGAGGGTTAGGGTTTTGCTCTTGAATCTCTGATATTGCACCATGGTTGGGAAGTGATGATTCCTTCAGAGTTCAAAAGGTCAGTTAAATTTCCGGCTGTGTTTCAGACTTGGATATTTTATTGGTTTTACTTGGAGCAATATTTTCGCAAATGTTTCCCCAACCATGAAATACATCACATCTTCCGATCCCACTTCCAAATTTGTGGGGTGGTGGGCTGGAAGGAGGACACATTTCAGTGTACAGTAATTGATCAACAAAATAGAAAAAAAAAAAAAAAAAAACGTGTTACATGTTTAATTCCTAGGAACGACTTTGAAGAAATCCTTTCTTGAATGTGTTTTTTTTTTTTTCTCATGTTATCATTCAATTACTCAATATAATTTATATTTCGATGATAATGTCTCATTTTCCATGTTATAAAAATTGTTAAAAATACAGTACTTTCTCTGTTTCGGCAATGATCAAGTGTCAAGATTAAGACATTAAAGATTGTAGAACATGTAGTTAATCCTTCCATACAACTTTTTGCCTCAGAAATAACAATGCCAACTCTAACAATATTTAAATTAATATCCTAATTCCTCAGGAACCCAGCAGATAGATGTAGTGAGTCCCAATTAAATATAAAAATAAAATATAGAAAATAAAATAAAAAGAATTCAAATTAAAATAAGGCATTGAGACTTTACCTTAAAACTCTTAACTCTTTATTTCTATTCTTCTGTCAACTAAGAAGGCGGCAATCCTCAAATAAAAAAGAGAAAGAAGAAGAAGAAGAAAAGACTGAACCCAATTGGAAACACCAAACCTTTGCAGGGCCAGAGTCTACTTATTTGTGACTGAAAACTACCAAAAATCAGGGAGGTTCCACACATAACTTCTGTTATATTTTAAAAAAAAAAAAAAAATTAAAATAATGTAACTAAACAATATTAATTATATTTACCAACCTGAATTTAATTAAAAAAAACAGCACATTTACTGAAATAAATTGTATCTATTTAAATAACATATAAACAGAAAATATATTAAATAATTGTTGAACTTAATCCATTTCTTAATATGTCATTGTTTATATTAAGGTACATATCTAAAGCAGATATGACAGTTCAGGAAAGATTGTTGTAGATTTGTTGTTTAAAAATATTAATTTGGACTTTGCTAACCAGATGCTTCTCGATATCTAAGTGCATAGGACAGATTCGATTCATGTTGGAGAATGCATATTTTCTACAAAATTTCTCAAACATTCAGGCCAGTAAATGTAATTAATATTGTTTAATTAAAAAACAGAGCATTTACTTAAATAAATGGTATCTATTAAAATAAGGTATAAACAAAAAATATATTAAATAATTATCAAATTTAATCTTTCATTATTTATATATATATATATATATATATATATATATATAAATATAAACATACACACACACACAAGTGCAGGAAAGTATTAGTTATTTTCAAAAGACCATCAGATAAAACATGTGCATGTGGAAGGCTGAAGCACATAACAAAAAAATATATTTTCGCAATGCGGTATTATCAAAATACAAAACACAATTAAGAAAAAATATATAGCTAAACCGGTTTCTCAGTCCTCTCTTATTGGAACTGGATTGAGGATGAAAGATGTACACAGCAATTAAAATGAACACCAAAGACTAAAATGTTATATAATACATATATAACAAAGACTAATTAGTTTGAAGCAAAAGTTGTGTTTGTTTGGATTAAAGGTAATTAACCTTTAAAATATATATATATATATATATTATATATATATATATATATATATATATATATATATATATATATAAACCTTTTCACCCCAAACAAGGCAATAAAGTCACTAAGATTCAAGGTGTTACTGAGTGTGAAAAATATGAGAAAAAGAAAACGTTATTAAAGAGAGAGAGAGTGCAATAAAAGAACAGGAAGAAAACGGAAAATAATGATTGACAGTGCATTAAAAAAAAACATTTTTAAAGATAAGGTATGACTGGAAAGCAAGAAGCCAAAAGAGAGTTCCGCAAGTAAGAAGTGCAAGAACAGAAACTGTTAGCATAGAACTTCTAGTTACGTCTAACCATTTTAACTGTAAAATGATGAGACCTTGCCACCAATCTAGTAGCACACTTAAATTCATAAAGTCGCTCTACTAAAGAGGAAAGCTTATCAGAATAATTACCCTGAAAGTATTTATAGAAAAGGCACAGGGAAGTTGCATTATGGTGGTGGGAAAGTGATTGAAGTTGAGATGCATCCATGTATTACTGTGTTATTATATCACAGAACATAATAATGCCCATAATTGGGGAAATTAAAATGGGAGAATGAAACTTTCTTCCATAACTCTATTCTGTTATAACAGTTATCTTTTTCAAATATCCTCATAAACTGCACTTCTTACTCTTACTGCTCAGCAACTACCATCAGTAACCCTCTACCTTGAGGTGCTCTTAGGCCTTGTATATTCTTCAGGTGATTGGAATTTTGAACTGAACCCTTTATTTTATTCACCAAAGTAGATTGTGCCATGCCTCTTCCGGATGTCTCAGTTATCTCCCTTTTCTCCAAGTTTTTGTTCACGTGGCACATGGAACTAGAACAATCTACCCCAGTAGACGAAATAAAGGATTCAGTTTGAAATTTCAATCACCTGAAGAAGGCCGGAGCATACAACAGCTGAAACATTGTGAACATAACAATAAAGATGAAGACAACAGTCCGAACAATGTAAATAATTACAATACCTCATCTTGGAAATATAGACAGATAAAGTCTTAACTATAAAAAAAAAAAAAAAAATGTGTTCCCTGTACAATCTGCCAAAAAGGAAAACCAGAAAAAAAAAACCCAGGTCGACTTTAGTCAGTCGTGATATATGGTAATTGCTTATGCTACCTTACTGGTCTCAACAATCCACAACCTTTTTTTTCTTCAATATAAGAATGCTTCTTTGGGCATCTGGTGTAGTTTCAGTTTGGTCTAAGACTGTAGTTGTACATCGTCAATGTGGGATACAAATTTTTTTTTTTTTTTTATCCCTTTTGGTTTGTGCCCAGCACTTTTGACTTTGGATTTGCAAGGCTCATTTACGAGCCTTGTAATTAGAACCACGGATTTTTATTTTTGATCGGAACTTCCCCCATTACTGTTTTCTCCCACAGATAACTATGGACCTCATTTGCTAAATTATCCAAATACGTATTGTATAAATCTTTTAATATCTCAATGTTCATATTTTTTTGTGGACACTGCCAAACATGAAGTTATTCAGTACATTTCCTTGCAAACTAATGATGACATTTTTTTGTCTCTATATAACAACGATTACAGACCATTCAGAAAATAATGGGAAAAAAAAAACCTAGGCTAGCTCTTAAAAACAATGGGAAAAATTGAATAATATTTAAAAAAAAAATTGATATATATTGAAAAACATTTATAAAAATAAAATAAACTGGCTTAATATTGCTAAAAAGAAATTTAAGAGACTTGTACTGATAAAAAATGTATTTTACAAACATCAAAAAATAGAAAATCGTACTTGTATAACATTTAAAACAACATAATATTTTAAAAAGAACTAAATATAAACAAGACCTTTGTAGCATTTATATATATATATATATATATATATATATATATATATATATATGAGTCTCTCAAAACATTTAAACAGAAAACAATTTGGTATTATTCAAATATATAAAATTGTTAATCAAATATTTACATTGTAGGTAAGCTTTGCCAAATAAAAGCAAATTCGGAAATTGTCTAATTACTGAAGCCAGTGTTTAGTGTATTTTTTTTTTTTTGTAGGGGTTATTTTTTTTATTCAAAATAAATCTGTTTTTCATAATTTTCAATGTGAGGTGTGTGTGTGTTTGATGCAGAAAATCAGATCTATTTTAAGTCCAGCAATCAATATTCACCTCAAATTATCAGTAGGCGTTTTCTACAAGTCTATTTAAGATATAATTTGAATTAACTTGATTGAAACGACACACACTCACACACACTCTCTCTCTCTCTCTTTATATATATATATATATATATATATGAGAGAGAAAAAAAGATAAATATATGTACCTGTATATTACATTGATGTGCCAAAAGTTATTTTTTATTACTTCAAACATTATTTAGTGGATGTTCATATTTGAAATAGACATTCCCGTTTTTATCTTTCTTTTTAAACTTTGATTGCTTTGTTTACATTTTGGATATGAAACTGACTACATATGGGCTTTTCAGAAAAATATCTTGGTGAGGAAGGTGTGCTTTCCTTAAAAACAAGGAAAATAGAGCCTTGCTCTACTGTGATGAACTCTGTAACTGAGTCATAAATCACATTGGATCAAACAGCGGTTTCTCTTACAAAGTGGGATGTCGGTCTAATTCCTGCTGGTGGGTACATTTTCTTTATTGAGATTCTTGATGTGCAGGCTGATAGGCATAATACACACTACTTCAAAGTAAAAATAAAAATGGGTGATAACAACATAATTCAAGAAGAGAGAGGGCATATATTTGTGTGTAGTCAGTACTTGTAAAAAGAAAAATACTTATGTACTTAGCTAAAGTTTGTGTTAATGTACCACATGGTTTGTTTGCAATTAAGTAGTCAGCTTGCCCAAAGAAAGAGATTCTCTACCTGTAGCACAAATTTGTTCCTACTTGTCGGTGCTGCACCCAGGAGCAAAATAAAAAAGAGAGTCAAAAAGATGGAGTAATCTCACAGGTGCTTAGTATTATGCAAAGGTCTCTCTAGCTGGCTAAAGTGCTGGAACTCTATATGGTATCAATTCCACAAATAGGCAGAAGGCCTCTGGAGAGGGGTTCAATCAATCTGCTTGAATAGATGTCCACAGCTTCCTGATATTTGTAGGTGGAAGATCTTATGTAAAAAAAACTAGTTTAGGCACATGTCAAACGTGGTGGTCCTCATTCACCAGTATTCTCCTGAATGCTCCATGAACTAATTTGGTGCATCTTAGTCTCAACAACAATGTGCATTATCTCTTGAAAATAACATCTTGTTGGTGTCTATGGTAATGGTAATGTTATGATATAGAATTTGCTGTTAATGGCAAGGCAAAATACTTGATACAGAGGTACTCTCTCATGCTGAACTGCCTAGCAGTCAGACAATTCTAATACAGTCACAGCTGTGCCAGCTAGGTCATGTAATTCACATGCCAGACAACAGGGCTCCCCAAAGAAGCTGTTCTACAGACAATTCTAACACTGCAAATGCTCCCTCAGAGGCCAGAAAAAGTGTGACGGATACATTAAAAGCTTTGCTTAGAGCTTTTTACAACAACCATAAAGAGTTACAGACAATGTTAGATAGAATAATATGGAGTACTTCAGTCTGTAAGAGCTTCAGAACATGTGAGGCGAACAGAATGACTGCAGCTGAGCAACACAGACAGTCCATAAAGAAAAAAATGCATTCCAATCTCCTATTATTGCCTACATTCTCTTCCACCCTGCTACATACATTTGTGTGTGTGTATGGATCAAACTAACAAGCCATCAGTGCACTCACAAAATAAAACCAACTGAAGATGACCAGATGATCAAGTTTTGTCCTAGAAACCTTGATCTGCAACGGAGAGTAAAAATGTTACCAAACAAGCAGAAATAATTAAACGTCAATTGTAAGAAGACAGAATGCATGGCTGTTAGCAAAAGGATGAGCCCAAAATACAAAATCAGAGATGGCAAAATCAAACGAGTACAAAAATTTAAATATCTGGCAAGTGTTATAACAGAGGACACTGAGATTCAAAGGCACATTGGGATGGCCAAAGATGCATTCCAAAAGCTAAGCAGAGTATTAAGAGACAGAAAAATTTTGTTAGAAACAAAGAAAAGAGTACCAAACTGTTACATGACATCTGCCCCCCTATATGGCAGAGAATGCTGGATAATCTCCTCAAAGATGAAGAGACTTGAAGCAACAGAAATATGGTTCTACTGAAGGATGCTGAGGATACCATAGAACAAACATGTGAGCAATGATAAAGTTTTAGAGAAAAAAGGAAATAAAAAAGAAACTTAACATCAGGAAGAGTCAGTTGAAATTTTGGGGGCACAAAATAAGGAAGGAGGGCTTAGGAATTCTGATACTCATAGGGACAGACTGAAGGCAATTCAGACAGAGGAAAGCAACATATGATAAACTTAATGATTCTGAGTAAATGGATAGCATAACTGGGTTTAGGAAAGACCAAATTTATTAATAGCAACAAAGGATAAGAAGTTGTGGCAAGCCATAATCACATATGTCCTGAAGGAATACAGCACTTGAAGAAGATGTTTCAACTTCTCCAAATCCAGCCTTTAGGCATATTTCCCATTATTATATGAAACCGTTTTTTTTTTTTGTTTTTTTTATCAGGTGATGGTACAATAAAAACAAAACTATTGTATATAAATAATTTGACTCCATACAATTGAAAAGTTCTAAATGTTCACTTGCAAGTTCACTGTGTGATGATAACACACAGTCCATTACTGCATAATGCACAAAACTATTTTTTTTATTTTTATTTTTATTTTTTTATATGGGATGACAACCTGTGTAAATTTACATTCATCTCATGAAAGAGTTGATGTGTGGGTTACTAAGAATGGCAAAAAAAATGATATTATCCACAATGTCAAAAACAACATAAAAATACTGTCGACATGCTAGTTTGCTATCTTGAATTATTTCTTCTCAGTAGTACCATATCTGGTACAAAGAGTTGGACAACACAATATTAAGCCATTAAAATTAAAATTCACATCACTTTGATTGTAAGACATCTCCTTGTCTTCTAGCAGTAGCATAAATGCTCTTAAGTGGAAATCAATCAATTCATATATATATATATATATATATATATATATATATATATATATATATATAAGGTGCATTAGGGTTGAGAAGTAGTGACTTTCTAAAGTAGGAATGAGACTGGAGGTAGAGTAGGAAAGCAAAGCTGTTTTTAATCATGGGGTATGGAAGTGGAGTTTTAATATGCCTTGTTTAACTTAAAGCACTGAGATATTTTTGTGCATTTGAAGCAGGGCTGCTAGGCTTCCACAGCTGATGGGTTTGCTGATCGTTGCTTTAAAATAAGTCAACTGTCTTTGTGCTTCGATGAGCTTAGTCGAATTTAGAGTAAAGAAGTAAGAAAAATTGATTTTAAAGTCAATCTCAACATCAAAAGTTACATGCATGCATGCGTACATACATACATGTATATATATCTATATATAAAATGTGTGTATATGTATGTAACTTTTGATAGATATGTATGTGTGTGTGTGTAACTTTTGATAGATATGTATGTGTGTGTGTGTAACTTTTGATAGATATGTGTGTGTGTGTAACTTTTGATAGATATGTGTGTGTGTGTAACTTTTGATAGATATGTGTGTGTGTGTAACTTTTGATAGATATGTGTGTGTGTGTAACTTTTGATAGATATGTGTGTGTGTGTAACTTTTGATAGATATGTATGTGTGTGTAACTTTTGATAGATATGTATGTGTATGTGTGTGTAACTTTTGATATGTGTGTGTGTGTGTGTGTGTAACTTTCGATGTGTGTGTGTAACTTTCGATATGTATGTATGTGTGTAACTTTCGATATGTATGTATGTGTGTAACTTTTGATATGTATGTGTGTGTGTGTAACTTTTGATATGTATGTATGTATGTGTGTGTGTGTGTGTGTAACTTTTGATATGTATGTATGTGTGTGTAACTTTTGATATGTGTGTGTGTATCTAACTTTATATATATATATATATATGCATGTGTATATAACTTTATATATATATATATATGTGTGTATATGCAACTTTATAAATATTATTGTAGCATACCTACAGATGATAATGGATATGTCCCCATTCACATAAATGCAATAGTAAATACTGTATGTTTTTTAACATTTTCCAGTCTTTGGTAGAAAGAATGGTGAGAATCTATGAAGCAGTGACAGTGGTCAAAAGGGTGTCATTTTGATGAATCAAAAGTTTAAGTTTTTTAGTTTTTTTGTTTTAATTTGTATTTAATGTGACTCAGGAAGACTTATATTTAGTATAATTAATAAAACCATTGGGGTGATTAACTTGTTTCATTAAAAACACTTTTAGGATCAGAAATAAAAAATTTTGAGGGTGGCCAAATACTTTTGACTCGTATTGTATATATCTCAAACGTTGCATATATATATATATATATAAAGTGTGTGTGTGCATGTTTTCCTAATATAAAGTTTTGCCATTTTTGATCTTCCACACTTCATACATTCCATGAGACACTCATACACGTGTGTCTCATATGAATAAATAAAGCTTATTCATTAACTAGTACTGATAGATTGTAAAAACTGTCCGTGAATATATTTTTCAATCTATTCTAAGTAAATGTATTATTTTTGAAATTCACTTATTAACTAATTTTCTAAGTATCACCTATTTCTATAAAGGCTATTTTATTTTTGCAAGATTTCTAATTACAGAATTAATTTTTTTTCCCCCCTCTTGGCACACATCATCAGCCATGGTGTAATCTAGGTTAATTTGAGACAACAAGAATTGACATTCAGAGCAGTCTCAAACTTGATTTACATACACGGAAGTAGATTTTTAATGACTAATTTCAGGTTATTTTGCAATTAAGACCCAAATTAAGATTTCAAAGAAGATATTTATTGAAGCATCAACAAAACTCTGTGTCAATTGCTCAAACTTGGAATGTTTTAGTTGGGATAAGCAACAGAATTATATCATTCCGTTCTTGCCTTGAGAACATCCACATTGAAGGAAACATGTGGGCTAATAATATAGTTTTCCTATTGTCATTTAACATTTTATATATATATATATATATATATATATATAGATATATATATGTATATACTCTCTCACGCACAGAGACTTTTTGTTAATCATTTGACCTCATACAAGGCAATAAAGCCACTAAAGCACAAGAGGTTATTGATTGTGAAAGAATAAACAAAAAAATGTAACCTTATTAAGGAGCAAGAACACTAGAAAAGTAATGAAGACAGTAGATAATGATTGACACTGAATTCAAATTTTTGATGATCAAAATTGGCTGGAAAGCATGGAGAGTTCCCCAAGCAAGAAGTGCAATAGAAAAAACTGTTAGCATAGAACTTACGCTTATATTTAACCAAGTTCACTATAAAATGATGAGACCTTGCTGCCAATCTAGCACTGAACTTGAATTCATAAATTCTAGGTACCATAGGGAAGAGTTCATCTGAACAATTACCATGAGAGTATTTATTGGGAAGGACAGGTAAGCTACATTATGGCAGTGGAATAAATATATATATATATATATATATATATATATATATATATATATATATATATATATATATAATTATAAAAACTTAGATTGTTGTCCTTGTCCTCATAAAATATCAGGAAAACCTTCAGGAGTGATACAACACTACGCAGACATCTATTTTGAATAAGACCACCCATAGAGGTTAACATAATTAAGGACTGTGTGTACACCATCCCATGCAGATGTGGCAAGAAATAGGCTATCCTATTAAGGTAAGACTGCAGGAACACAGTAAAGTTGTAACATGAGGGAAAATAGAAAAATCAGGCATGGCTGACCATATATGGAGGGAAAAGGTAGATCACCACCCCCTGTTATATGGAGTTGAAATAACACAGAGAATGTCACTGGAAAATACAAAAACTTAAGGAATCAGTGTATATGCTAGGCCACAAAAATCTAAGCCAGCCAAGCATAGACATTAATATGGAGTGCTGGAGAAAAACAATAGCAACAACAAATTGTAATATGAACCCTGGTAAAAAAATGATTGAGACATTAGGTTTATAAGTCCAAAAATTAACTCACTAATGTGCCTAAGGACACATGACCCAGTCGATAAAAGTTATTTCAATCCCTGGCCACAGCAGAGGGAACAAAAACTTGGAGAGTCAAGTTACTAAAGGGAATTAACTGATACTGAGATATCCAAACATGGCATGGCATGTGGAAATAGAACAATCTACCCCTATGTACTAAATAAAGGATTTGGTTTGAAATTCCAATGTATATCACCTGAAGAAGGCCAGAAACATCATGAATGTGCCAATAAAGGTGAGAACAAGTCTGAACAATGTAGTTAGTTACAATAATTAATCTCATATATATATACACACACACACACACAAATCTATTTCCTTCTCATACCTGTTTTACTATATCATCAAGGGTTTAGCCATACTACTCACCATGCTTGACTAATTACAGGTGGGTGAGGCTATTTAACCCATAGTCCTTTCTCACTCTCCTTTCCCCTTTTCATCTCTCTCTCTCCTTTTCTCCTTTCTTGCTCTTACTTCCTGCTTTTTACCTTTTCTCTTTTGACTTTTTCTTTTCTTTTCAATTTTTTAAATCCTGTCTCAAATGGCCACTTCACTTTCTCACTTTTTCTTTTCTTATTACTTTCAGTTTTTCTTTTTACCTCTTTGTCTCTCTTCTCTTTCATCTCACACTATTTTTCTTGTGTTTTTTCTTTCTTGCTACACATTCTCTCTCTTTACACTTCTCTCATTTTGATCTCTCTTTACACTTCTCTCATTTTGATCTCTCTTTACACTTATCTGACGTTGATCTCTCTTTACACTTATCTGACGTTGATCTCTTTACACTTATCTGACGTTGATCTCTCTTTACACTTATCTGACGTTGATCTCTCTTTACACTTATCTGACGTTGATCTCTCTTTACACTTATCTGACGTTGATCTCTCTTTACACTTATCTGACGTTGATCTCTCTTTACACTTATCTGACGTTGATCTCTCTTTACACTTATCTGACTTTCCCTTTCTGTATACTTCACTTTCCCTTTCTTTATACTTATCTCACTTTCTCTCTCTTTACACTTCTCCCTCTTTCTCTCTGATTACTCTCACTTTACGCTTCTCTCTCATTTCCCTCTCTTTACGCTTCTCTCTCATTTCCCTCTCTTTACGCTTCTCTCTCATTTCCCTCTCTTTACACTTCTCTCTCATTTCCCTCTCTTTACACTTCTCTCTCATTTCCCTCTCTTTACGCTTCTCTCTCATTTCCCTCTCTTTACGCTTCTCTCCCAGTTTATGACTCTCTTTCACTCCCTTTCTTCTTACATGTTGCTCTTACTCACTTCCTCTCTTTTTTCTCTTTATTCTTTCCATTCACCTCTTTCTATTGTCTTATTCTCTACTCTCTTAACTCTTTTTCCCTCTTCCTTCACCTCTCACCCTTTTCTCTCTTTATTCCATCCAATCCACCTTTCAACCTTTTGTTTCTCCTCCCTCTCTTTATTTCCTTCTTTTTTTAAAAATTCCAAATCACACTCCTCTTCTCATGAGCATCATTTTGTCATTGACATCATTAGTGAAGTGCCCTCTACACTTCTCCTTCTCACTCTTTTACACTGGCATTTAGTCTCACCCCTTCCTATACCAAGACCTTCTTACCCTTTCTCCTTTATTTTTCTTACCTTTTGTTTTTCCTCATTAGATGTACTTCACTTAATCCATTGTTCCTTCGTAGAATAGGTTACAGACTGTCTGCAGGTGCCTTTTATGTTGGTCGTTTCTTCGGCTTTTTATTTCAGCTTCATGGCTCCAGGTTGGCTTACCCTGAAGGCACCATCTTCTGCCAATCACACATTCCTGCAATTTGCCTCTTTGCCTATCAACTCAATCAGCAATCTGTCTCGGGTTTTTTTTTTTTTTAAGGAGATCATCTCCATCTATCAATCACTCTTCCCATATGCCTACCATTCAGCGAGAAGTTTGCGGGGAAAATTATCAGCTAATTTTGTTGCACGGAGTTATTTCTATGCAGATAGAAAGATTTCCAAATTTGTTCACTCAATACAGGGCCCATGAGCCACTCAAAGTAGAGGGCTACTGAATGAGATTGTTCTAAGAATGTACAAGGAAGGAAGGAATGAGAGGTGTATATTATGAGGATATATAGGATAAATAGAGGTTAACTCAAGACTTGAAGTGGTTAAAATTTTAGTGATAGAGGAACCATCCTCTAGGGAGCCTGTTCTACAAAGCAATAGTATAACTTCCTTCTTAGCTATAGAATACGAAGGGAATGTAGTCAAGACTTATCTCAGTGACCCAAAAGAGGCAGAGTTGCGTGTATGTTTTGCAATGGAGTGTGGAGATGGTGAGTTGGCAAGTTTCAGACTGGTGAGTTGGCAAGTTTCAGGTGAATCGGGCAGCACTTTATGTGGACAGAAGTGGTAGTGTCGCTTGTAGCCATTTTTATTGGCTGGTTCTGGGTGCTCACTGGCAGAGTGATGGCTGGGTCAGGTCCATAAAAGCACAGTAAGCTCATTCAAGAGTGAGGCTTGTTTCTGAGGAGGAGTTGAGATTGAAGAATGGAGATAATTGTGGGATTGATTTGCCTATTCGACTTGTATATAGTTTTTTTGTGCTTCTGACCAATTCTCCCATCCTGGGTATGACAATAAACAATTCCAGACAGTACTTATATTAAGTACAAAAGCATACCTATTAGATTACAGCAAGTCCTCATTTAATGGTACATGTACTTGTTTTGGCTTATTTTTTTCCTTCTTAGCAATAGAATACAAAAAGAATAAGTTGACTCCATTTTTGTGGCATGTTAGGTCTGAACAGTTTGTGAGAGTAGCAAGAGGCTAATAATGTTTTGTCTTTGGAAATGGCATTGATGCTACAGCTATTCAGTTATTTGCCATGCATGATACACACTTAGGCGATATGTATCTTTTGATACATGACTGACGAGGCAGATTTTTCCCGCAGTAGGTTGCCATTTCTTTCTGCAGTAGACCAGTTGCTACCCAAGACTATAGAACCCAGTCTGTCCTGCTATTTACCCTTAGGTGGGGGGAGAAGAAGAGGATTCATACCTTTCCCAGGAGTATTAGCACATAATTGAATGTAATGGATTCAACTAGAATTTGAACTCAGCTCTCCAATTCCTCAATCTGAGCCACTATCCATTACTCCTCCATGCCTACGGTAATTACTGATGTAAATATTTCTAATTGTAATGGTTCACATTATAATGCTGTACTACAGTTATAAATATAATAAAACAACTTTTACTTCGTGATTCCTCATTAAAATGTAATATACAAAAAGCAATTACACAACAATTTGCAAAATTTCTGAGCAACACTCACAAGTAACTAGTAACTTAAACAGATCTTTTCGTTCATGATTTGTAGAGCTATCAATGTTTTCACACCAATCATTATTTCTTATAGTAGTGTTAAATAACATTTAGTATAACAAATTTTTGTCTATATTTCTGAGATTAGGTATTATGTACACTATTTATATTATTTGGACTATTGTCTTCATCTTTGTTGCCATATTTATTACAACGTTTGGGCCATTATATGCTCCGGCCTTCTTCAGGTGGTTGAAATATTGAACTGAACCCTTTATTTCACTCACTGGGGCAGACTGTTCTAGTTCAACGTGCCATGTTTAATGGATGTCAGTTATCTCCTGTTAATTCCCTTCAAGTTTTCCACCGCCATAACCAGGTATTGAACTCACACTCAAGGACACATGGCACAGTGGATAAAAGCGTTAGTTAGATCCAGTGACAGGACCCAAAGAGTGTGAGTTCAATACCTGGTTAAGGTGGTGGAGAACTTGGAGAGGGGAATTAACAGGAGATAAATGATAACTGACATCCGTTAGACATGGCATGTGGAACTAGAACAGTCTACCCCAGTGAGCAAAATAAAGGGTTTAGTTCGACATTCCAACCACCTGAAGAAGGCCGGAGCATACAAATGAAATTGTTTTTATTTTCATAAAGATTCATGTTAATACGTTATATTATTTTATTCCGTTTTGATTTGATAACAATAAAGGTAAGCAAAACAAGATTTGTAATAACACCCACTTTATTTTATACTCATCGGAATCATTATGATAGGCCTGAGTGCTACTGGTTGTGTACTTTATGTAGACTATCCTACATTTTTGGTTGTTTTATACTACGAATATCAGATAAAATCACAAATGTTTACCTAGATTTTGGGTCTCGTCTTATCTATAGGTTGCTTTATATGTGGAAATATATGGTAGTTGCAGCTCAAGAGCTTCTGGAACAGCATGATATGGGTATCATCTTCCTCAGCCTGATCTTCACGGGAGATGAGATCTGGGTTCACCACTGAGCCAAGAAACAAAATAAGATCAGACGAGTGACACCACTCCAACAGACTCAACCATAAAACAGTTTAAGCTCTCAATTTCAACAGTTAAAGTGATGGCCACTGTATCTTTGGAATTAGTAAAAAAAAATGTTTAAGCACATTATCAAAACTTAGAGGAAGGCTTTTTTTGAATTCAGCAGTTTTTGGGGTGATGTGCTTTCACAAGATAATGATGCATGGTCTCATTGCAAACACCAGACAATCAATCGCAGATCATAGCAGGTCATCCGTGCATCATTCACCTTACATTCCTAATCTGACATGTTCAAACTTGCATCTGTTTGGATCCATGAAAAGGAGACACAGAAAACAATGGTTCTCCAAAAGAGGATGAGATGAAAGAAGCATTTCACACATGTAAGAATGCAGCCAAAAATCTTCTATGTGACAGATATACATGTCTTTGTTCAAAGGTGGATTACCGCATTTAAGAAGAAAAGAAATTATGTTGAAAATTAGATTTAGAAGCTTGAGAAATTTATATTATTTACATTATTCAGACTATTGTCCTCATCTTTGTCGCCATATTTATCACGTTTCGGCCGTTGTACACTCTGGCCTTCTTCAGATGGTTGGAATTTCGAACTGAACTCTTTATTTCGCTCACTGGGGTAGACTGTTCTAGTTCCACGTGCCATGTTTGATGGATGTCAGTTATCAGTTATCTCCTGCTAATTTTCCCTCTGAAAGTTCTCCACTGCCTTTAAGAACACATGGCACAGTGGATAAACTGGATCTAACCAACGCCTTTATCCACTGTGCCATGTGTCCTCAGTAAATAATGTACATAATACCTCATCTCAGAAATATAGACAGACTCTTGAGAAATTTCTATTCATTTTGTTATGATTTTTGTTCATAGTATTAAATCTGTTATAAATTAAGAACAGGCATTACTTTTTGACTAACCCTCTCAGAAATGTTCAAGAAGCTATTTGTTGAAATAATGGAATATAAATAACAAAGAACGATACAAAAAAAAAAACTCCATCAAAAACTTCATCATGGAAATGGTTTGGGACTTTGACTTCCATAGAAAAATTTTTCTTTTTAGTGGGAGGGGATTCTTTTATTTTTTTCTTTTTGTTTGTTTGTTTTTCTCTGACTATAAAATATTTCTTTCTATTAAAACTGTCGGATGTTTGAGAAAATGTACCTACACTATAAAGACAGACTAAAAAAAATATCTTGTTTATAAACTGATTTTTAAACTATTTTTTTTTCTTTTCGTTACTCTTACCTAAACAGTTTTCTCTTCTCTTCTTTTTTGTTTAAATTGTAAGAACAGCCATGTTTGTATTGATTATCTTAAAGAAGCCCGTCTCACATAGACTTCTTCATTTGAATTATTTTTTTTTTAGTTTTATTAGATTACAAATAAAATTGAGTAAACTATTCTTGCAGATAACGGTTGCAGCTTTTTGTTCGAAACAAGCAAATTACTTGCTAACTGACCCTGAATCTTTTCCCTTTTAGAATTTTAGGGCAAAAAGAATGTTGCTTGTTTTTTGTCTCTTCTCTTTTCCATTTCTTTCAGAACAATTTGTTCTTCTCTTGGCTTTCATCAATAATCATACAATAAAGTATTATGGGATAGTGTTAAAAACAAAAGGAAAAGAAATGGATGGAGTAAAACAAAAAGAAAGTGTGGAGGAAGAAAAGCCAAAAAGAAGAAAATAAGAAAAGATAGTAGTTTATTTCTCATTTGGGAAGAATATATTTTAGCAAAAAGTCTACAGGTTTTTTTTGGTTCCATTACTTAATCATGGAGGCCAACTAAATTTGTTTTAAAATGAGATTAGTGACAGAAATGAAACATATTAATGAGTTTAAGACAAGATTTTAAAAAAAGAACTTACTGATGATATATACT